TCGCTCGTCCTGGGAACATAACGCAAATTTTCCGCTTTCAGCTGCTCTTCCCTCAACTGTCTTTTGTCTGAATGTGATTCTGCTGCTAACGTCGTTTGTAAACTGGCATATATTTTTAGATACTTACGTTTAAATTTAAATAACTGTAATTGACACGGCATCTTCCTTGTTTGATTGTCTTTTTCTTGTGTTTCTTTTATCCTTGTTGCTGCTTTGTTTTCGTGCTGTTCTGCAACTGGACTCTGGCTGCTGAATTAAGCACGTAAATAATGAAGACGTGAAGTGAATTGCTATTATTTCTCACTTTATTTCAAGACTGCGTGTCTTGAAACTAAGATTTCTAGCGCTGATACAAAATTATATTTTAAGCTTTACGTTAATTGCTGATCTTAACCGCGTGGACTTCACGTGAGGCCCAAGGTTCGTAACAAATAAAATGTGATAATAACATACATGAAGGGCTTCAAAAGTTTTATTTTAAAGAAACTGCAAGACCTACAGAAATAAAACTCGTATAATTTGAAAGAAAAACTTAAACTGTGTAAAACTAGGAAAAGGGAGGTGAAGTACGAAAATGTCTACTAAGTGACTCAACTGCAGAAAGCGTTCTGTTTGTTGGCGTTTTATTCCACAGAACCTGCGATCACTGTTCAACGGAATTTTCGAAGGAAGTACCAGTTCGTATTCAAAATGTTAATTCAATTCGGGAGTGATATTAAAGCTTTTCAGCACTGTTAACAACTCAGTAACAGTTGTGCATATTTACTGATTAAATCAAGTATTTTCTCAACAGTGGAGACAGCGACTTCTTCTTTACGTATGTTACAAAAGAATGTACTCTCTCGTGCTATATACTAGTACAATGATGCATCCGAAGTTAGCTACAGATGCTGAGAATGCAGATTGCTAAGAATGGACAGCAGTGAACGTATTATAATCAGTAGAATATTCGGGGAGAGTGACCAGTATAGGTTTAAAAAGGGAATTAATGCAGTGGAGGCTCGTTAATTCCTTTCTGTGCGTAACATTTTTGGGGAATATAGTTAAGACGTCCAATGACAATGAAAATGGCTTCCTCATAATGAAGCGCTCTGCAACTAAGCAAATGACGTCTCTTATTCACTCCTGTTTCCAGCCAGCAGTATTACAGCAATTGTTGATTAACAGTTCACTTTATCACATCTAATTTGTACAGTGACAAGTAGTAAGAGAAATATTACAACCTGTAGGCTCCGATCTTTCGGAACCCTAAAACACACCCCAGCAGCAGCGACTGGCGGTGTGTGCCGTAGTATGCAGAAACCTGTTCCTGTCTGGTATGCTAATTGCGTAGAAAGTGCTGGGCATGCGCACAGGTGCTCCGCTGACGAGCTCATTGCCTGCTATTCAGCCCGTCACTCGAGGCTTAATTAATTGAGATCTGAAAGTGAGCTGGTGACTTGCTCATGCCGCCATCCAGCGGAAAAGACCAGTCTTCTTCTGCTGCTAATTTCTCCTTGTTGCTTTCTTTGTTACTGTTCCTCTTCTGTTCTCTCTTCTTTCTTTCTTCTTCTTCTTACGCTCCTTCTGTTCCTGTTTCTAACCTACTTTACATCACTCACTCATGGAGCTGAGCCCTTCTCGAGAAGCCGCCAACTGTGCAGCCACTCAAGAACTTGCCAGCATTTTATGGAACCCGAATGCTAATTACCGTGTTCACACGAGCCATCCACTGGTCTCTATCCTGAGACAATACCATCCATTTTACTATTGTCCACCCGCCTACGTCTTGGTCTTCCCAGTGGTCTCTGTCCTTCTGGTTATCCCACAAATATCCTATATGCATTCATTTTCTCCCCCTTTCGTGCTACATGCCCTGTCCATCTCATCCTCCTTGACTTGATATTTCTAATTATACTCGGTGAAGAGCACAAGTTATGAAGCTCCTCATTATGCAGCTTCCTTCAACCTCCTGTCACTTCATCTCTCTTCGGTCCAAATATTCTCCTCAACACCCTGTTCTGAGACGCCCTCAGTCTATGTTCCTCCCTTAATGTCAGAGACCAAGTTTCACGCCCATAGGCAAAATGCCTACTTTATTTATTTTGAAAAAATTAATGAAGGCTCAAGCGACCAAGACGCTGTCTGTGTGTCTGTGTATGCCCCCTCCCCATCAACTTTTGAATAACTCAACGAGTTTTTATTGAACATGGTGCGTATATCGTGGCACTTGAGCCCATCTCAACGGCGTACTTCATAAATCCCTCACATAACTCTGTGTATCCGTTTACCGTTGCGTAGCAACGGCTCAGTGGAAACGTTACCGCTGCAACAAATACACACGCGACAATGGAAGAATTGTTGGACGTGTCGTTTTCTATGCGGTCCGAGCCGTATCAAAGGAAATCAGACGATTGGTTCTTCCCTGAACTTCTCGTTTCCTTCTTATAAATTCTATTCTCTATTTCTGTCTCTACTCCGTCTCTGTTTTATTATGTCCTTTTGTTCCTGTTATTGTTCATCATCGTCTTCTCTTAATTTCTTTTATATGTACATGTTATTCTTCTTCTGCTCTATTTCGTTTGCTTAATTTTCCTTTGTTCCTCAGCCCTTTCTTGTCTGCCCTCTTGTTCTTCTCTGGCTTCTTTACTTTGTAAGTTTTCTTCTTCTTTCGCGGATAGGCTAACAAGTCTCTTCTGGCTCCATTCCAAAGTACGTGTGGTCTACCGAAGTGCCCCCCCCCCTTCGTGAAGAGTAATTCAAACGGGCTTATGTTAATATCTGCTGGCATTCTAGCTTCATGGTCTCATTATGTGCATAATTAATTTAATAAGAACATAGTTGCAGTAATTTACTTCCCTTTTTGTTGCCTTAAATATCTGCCATAATTTTCAGAAATTTATCAGCTATAATTTCTATATACTGAAGATATTCATAATTCATCTCGGCTATCGGTTTCTTATGGGTCACGCGGTACCGTAGTTGGTTGAGGCACTATGCTACAAGCCGGAAGGTTCGAGTCCCGATGAGGTCAGCGGACTTTTTCAGTTGATCTAATCCTTCCAGCCGCACTATGGCCGTGGGGTCGACTCAGTCTCTAACAGAAATGAGTACCAGGAATCTTCCTGGGGATAAAGGGCGGCCGGGGTGTAAGGCTGACAACATTACCACCATCTGTGAGCCGATTTTCTAGAAAATGTGGGAGCCTCGACGTCTCACAGTCCTATGGGCCTCCACGGCCTGTTACACGGATAGTTTTATCAGTTTTTGTAGATGAGATAGTTATTTTTAAATTCGTTAGTTTCATGCGAGTAAGAATTGTGTTAGACCGATAGAAACCAAAATCATATTCTAGCAACAACTTTTAACGCTGACTGCCAAAGTGTTGCACGGTTTCGAAGATTAAACATGTGATCAGAAAGAACTTATCTCATCGCCTTTGCTTCATTTTATGGGCTTAAGGAACGCGTAAAACAGAAAGTTTACATTTACTGCCGTTCCATTCACAAAACCTGTGCCATAACGAATTAACGAGGCATGATGGGTATCGCGTACACTAACGGTTTCAGTGGCGTGTAGATTTATTTTACATAATTACAATAGAAACTGCGAGAGAAGTAGTAGTGGGGGGGGGGACTTCCTTATCGGCCCCGCCTGGCTGTCACCTTGAAACAAGCAACTGCCGTGAGAGCCAGTAAGACATCTTCTGTGAACAAGCTTCGTTCTGTTATACGAGTATACGTATTTAAACAGGAGTACTGCCGAACATCACGCTCAGTTGCGACCGAACGTGTCGATCTAGACCGCTCAGCAAGGCAGAATGTCAGCGCTACAGGTAAGTGCCTACACGTATCGTCATAATGCTGTGTCTCTTGCAATGCTGCTGATACCGGCTACCACCCTCTATACCAAACATCGCATAATCCTCAAGGGTTCTCGTGTGATGTGAATGTAAACGGGGCTAATTCTGCCCATTTATGTGTCTACACGTTTTATTTCAACGGAAGTAGACAAAATCTGTGCAACATGGGTATATCTGAGAGCCGTCGTCACAAAAATTCATTATAAAACCGATATTAAATGTACATTAGAATCTTTTCCCATCCCGCTATATGTTTCGATCTTTAGAGATCAATATCAGGTGGTCTACGTGTCTCCTGTCATTAAACTATATATTAAAAGGGAAATATATTTAATTTATCAATAATATTATAATACAGATTTTAAAATTTTAGGTTTTAAGTACGGGATATGTCTCGAGTGATGTTGTTCTAATGTACTAAAAGTTAAATCTAGCCCTTTAAGTAAATTAGAAAATATTAAATTTTGAATATAAATAAAATACGGGAGGGTTGTGTATTTAATGTACTAGTTGTTGTGTGGTGTGGATGACCCTAATAATTTTCGATGTTTCTGATGGGCAAAACGTGCACAAATAAATAAGGCATACGTGGGGCACTCGGTTGCGTAGTTGGTTGAGACACCATGCTACAAGCCGGAAGGTCGCGGTTTCAAGTTCCGATTGGGTCATTGGATTTTTTCAATTGACCTAATCCTTCCAGCCGCACTATGGCACTGGGGTCGACTCAGCCTCTAACAGAAATGAGCACCAGGAATAATCTTGGAATATTATTGGGGGTTAAGGGCGGCCGGCGCGTAAGGCTTACAACGTTGCCGCCATCTTTGAGCCGATTGTCTAGAAAATGTACGAACCTCAACATCTCACAACTCTATGGGACACCTTTATTTACTTACTTCTTTTTAATATACATATGTTAAATTATAATCAATTATAATGAAGGCATATGATTCAGTTAGGAGGGAAGTATTGTACAATATTCTGATAGAGTGTGGGAACCCATGGAACTAGTTAGGCTGATTAAAATGTCCTTAGGCGAAATGTATAGTAAAACGAGTATAGGTAAACATTTGTCTGATAATTTTCCCATCCACAATGGTCTAAAACAAGGAGATGCTTTATCGCCACTCCTTTTCAACTTTGCCTTAGAATATGCAATTAGGAAGGACCAGGGAAACCAGGTGGGACTGAAATTAAAAGGGATACATTAGCTGTTGGCCTATGCCGATGATGTGAATCTACTGGGTGATACTACAAATACCATAAAGAAAAACACACAAACTTTAATTGACGCAAGTAAGGAGGTTGGTCTAGGAGTAAACACAGAGAAAACTAAGTATATGTTGCTATCTCGTCACCACAATGCAGGAAAAAATCTTGATATAAAGACAGGAAACAGATATTTTGAAAATGTGGCACAGTTCAGATATTTAGGAACGACGATAATAGATCGAAACCTGATTCAGGAGGAAATTAAGAGGAGATTGAACTTGGGTAATGCTTGGTACCATTCAATCCAGAACCTATTGTTTTCTTGTCTGCTGTGCAAAAACATAAAAATTAGAAAGTACAAAACTATAATTTTCCTGTGGTTCTGTATGGGTGTGAAACTTGGTCTCTGATATTAAGGGAGGAACATAGACTGAGGGTCTTTGAGAACAGGGTGTTGAGGAGAATATTTGGATCGAAGAGAGATGAAGTGACAGGAGGTTGGAGAAAAGTACATAATGAGGAGCTTCATAACTTGTACTCTTCGCCAAGTATAATTAGAATGATCAATTCAAGGAGGATGAGCTGGGCAGGGCATGTAGCACGAATGGGGGAAAAGAGGAATGGGTATAGGATATTGGTGGGAAAGCCAGAAGGAGAGAGAGACCACTGAGAAGACCAAGACGTAGGTGGGTTGATAAAATATAAGGCATGAACTTCCTCGCCCGCTCAAACATTGGGGTCGTGGGTTCGAATCCCACTCGAGGCATGCATGTCTGTGTGCGTTTATTCTGTGTTTGTGCTGTCCTGTGTGCAGGTAGCGGCCTTACGACGGGCTGATCCCCCGTCCAAGGAGTCATACCGACTGTGTAAAATGATCAAGAAACGGCCACGGCCGAACAAAGGGCTGTAGAGCCATAGATAGGCAGATCAGGCAGACAGGCAGGCAGACGTGGTTACTGTGACTTGTAAAGTTGGTTTACCAAAAAAATAAGTGTGTAAGTTTTATTAACTGGGATTTTATGTCCATATAATTGTGGATTGCTGCTGGTTTAGCTGTGTACGTTGGTAACGCATTTTACTTGCATATTCAGATATTGATGTATAAATATGAAAGCTTTCTGTTTTAATCAACTATGACGGCTCCCAAATATACCTTTAATCCATGATATATAATAGGATGCAAAAAAATAAATATGAAGTTTGGTTTTGCTAGTTCCTCTTGATTCAGGACCGTACAAAATGGCGGGCATTGCACCCGTAGGTACTACAGCTAGAGTATTTTGTTTCTGAAGAGCAGTTTCATTTACTTTTCTGATTCTAATTGCTCTCATACCGAACAGGAGGCCAAGGTACTTGGTGGAATTCTCGGCCGCAACAGCGGAAATCCAGACTAAGTCCTTTTTTTTATTTTCCTTAGTCCCTCGTGGAAAGTGCCACGATATCTCCATTTGGTTAAAACCACCTCCTTTGGCGTCCTTCCCAATTCTTCATCTGACATTATAGAGTCCAGATATTAAAAATGTCCTCAAATAATCGGCTAAAATACACTCATTACCATATGCTACTTCTCCATTCAAACAGAGCGTTCGTGTCTACAGGTCGCGAAGTCTTACATGACATTTTCGCTATTTTCTGAAGAGATAAAACTTAATTTCACAGATAAATCTGATGTGCAATATACTCGTGGATAATATAACANATAATATAACGTAGCTCACAGTTCGTCATACAAGAATAGAAATTCTCTATTCAATGTTCTTGGGCCATCAGTCGCGTGAATATGGAAGTAGTATCTGACGTTTCGGATATTGTCTCTGTCTCCATAATCAGGGGTTGATGTGATATCTGTCACTCCCACATTTTCTATGCTGAAGATAGAGACAGTCGGCCATGGCTGATCGCCACGAAAGTTTCAAATCGTATGCAAATGCTTGAGGTTTTGTAAAAGGTAGAGTTTGTAACAAGCCGTGGAGGCCCACAGGGTTGTGAGACGCCGAGGCTCCCATACCTTCTAAACAATCGGCTCACAGATGGCGGTGAGGTTGTCAGCCTTACGCGCCGGCCGCCCTATACTCCCAGGAAGATTGCTGGTACTCATTTCTGTTAGAGGCTGAGTCGACTCCAGAGCCATTGTGCGGCTGGAAGGATTAGGTCAACTGAAATATCCAATGACCTCTTCAAATGATTTGCAGATTCAATTTTTTCAGTTCTTGCATTTTCGATACATTAAATCCACAAACCACTTGAAGTTTTTTCCATGATGAATCCTTTTATTGTGAATGGAGTGGAAGGCTTCACTATACAAATATGTATAATTAGCAGGAAAGGAGTGGTCCTCTTGCATTCGGGCTGGGAGAAAGAGGAAAACTCCTCACTTCAAGAAGCTGGGATGCTGTGGTAAGACGTACTGTTACACAGGGCGCCTGCTACAAGAGGCTCATCAGACTTAAATACAAGGACAATATTAATATGAATGCTAAATATATCGATTGTGAGGGTGACATTGAATTCAAGCGGCCCAAAGTAGGGCCCAGTGGCCGAATCTAGCAAACAAGATTAATATTTAAGATTTGAGGTTTTCACGGCGGTGACCATGAAGAATGTCGTCTTCTGGTATGTGGCGCCTTGTAGATCTTGTGTAAACCGACGTTTCGGAGGAATATATCGCCTCTATCTTCGAGGTAGAAAAATCCGCGAGCGTGGAACCAAGTGAGGAAGTGGTTGCAGACTGCAGCCACCTGCTCATGCTGCTTCCTCGCTTGCGGATTTTTCTACCCTGATGATGGAAGCTATATATTCTTCCGTAACATCGGTTCACACAAGATCTACACGGCGTCACATCCCAGAAGACGGCGTTCTTCAAGATTATTATTCGCTTTATACGAGATGCGAGGAATTTATTGACTATATGAGCGACTATCAGCTTTTAAAAACCCATGAAAATGTATAAAAGTTGCATCATATCTCCAATTTTATTGATTTTTTTTAATTAATGGGAGTTGACTGCATATGTTCGTTTGAATGGCGTTAAATAAGAAATGGCAGGGTGATCATGGACAGGGAAATATGTTGTGAGAAGGTTGGTAACACCAGAGATTATTTCAGCCTGATAGCCTATTCAGTTAAGATTCAAACCAAGGACCTCCTTAATCCTAAGCAGGAAGGACAGGTAATGGAATATGAGTTTCGTGATAAATAGTTAATTGGTTAGGCGCCAAATTCCGTTAATACAGTAAAGGCTATGAATTTGTGATACGCTGGCATAAGTGAGACAGGAGCGATATACATAATTTTGGTGGGGAATGCACATGGAAACCAGGAACTAGGATGATAGCATTAATAAGGATATTCCCTGTGTATAGGGGAAGGCGATGCTCGGCACATAACAGTAACATATTTAGAAGTGAAAAAGTTGACAATAAATTCTGAATGCAATATATGATTGAGTACAAATGAGGAAGTAGCACGTAAGAAATCCATAAACAGTAGAAATGTACAGGAGCTCAATTTAAACGTGGGTGTAAGTAGGAGGATAAAGTTAACAAGGAATCGTTTGAGGCTAAGAGATAATGGAAATGTGAATTTAGAAACGTGACTAAAGTGCAGAGGTGTGGCAGGCACGCGCGGTGCTGCAGTAGAGCTTGTGGCCATAGTGAGGTTAAGTTGTCCTGAAGACATGTAGCGAACCGGAGCTATAGCTCCATAGTTCATGACTTCAGTACTTGATGGAGGTGAGTAGTCACCTTCACGCCCCGGCAGCTTAA